TACCCCCTGCTTCGTCGTTGCGTGCAATGTTGTACATAATCTGAAAGGGAGGTCGACCTTGGAAACGTTAGCCAATGCAATGAACTTCATTTGAGAGGACACACCCGTGAGTTCGAGGTCGACGTGGGCATCCTGGCCTTTGCAAATCGGAGGAAGGATATGTGACCTGTTATATGGCTCGAAGGTACAAACAGTTGCAGGATCCAGTCGAGCAGATGGTCGTGGCACCCAGTTAACGGTATAAGTGTTCTCACTTTCAATCACAGATCCAGGACATTGAGAATCCGCAACCTAGAATAAACATGTTATGTGAACAGGATATCCCATGGCTATGCGATGGACTGCTACCTCAAGAATTTCGTAGACACCCATTTGCGTGACATGGATATAATCATTAGGTGACTTCAGCACAGCAGTGAACAGCCGATCTGGGTTGCCCATGTGACGGTACTTGACTTTCCATGGCTAAGGTAGGCGAACCTGAGTCCTGCTTGGGAGAGTTCAATAAGCTGACTTACTCCGTCGCCTGTCAGCCGAAGCGGCAGGTCAGCACCATCATCTTCTAAGATAGTGACCTCCCGTTGGCCATGCTTGCCGTAGAACTTGACGGTCGGCTGAACACGAAGTCAAAACTTGACCCATATATCACAGTCATAATAACCTACCTTCACTCTCCTGACATTCACAGAGACGCCAGGAACTGATATCGATCGTCTGCATCCGTAGCTATCCACGACGCTCACTGAGTGAACGGATTAGCTTCGCTTCATCGAACAACAGCCTTCGAGCCTACCTAATTCAACGTCAAATGTTCCACCCTCCTTGTCAATAACATTGGGTATGGGTACCAATACCCTCGTAGGCGACATTTTGATGTCGGTTATTTCCAATGAATCCGTACTGCGTGGACCCACGACCTGCAACTCCAAGTTCCAAGGAGGCGTGCCCTATGGATACGCATTAGCACCAGCCCATTAAACCCAATAAGACTGCTCACCCTCAAATCGACCTCGATGCCCACTGTCACACCCTCACAACTGCTGACGACTCTCCTTCCGCGACCGCCTACAAAGTCTGCTGCAGCTAGAGGGTGTACGATTTGATCAATGCTCGGGCCATCAAGCGCAACTTTTTTGTAGTAGGCGTCACTGAGCTGTACAAAGGTGTAATAGTAGTGACCGCTGTCCTCCGGCTGCAGTGTAAGCTCGCCACGGGACGACGTGAATGTCTTAAAAAGATCACGTGGGGGCTCTGCATCACGCTGCGTGCGGTAGTAGACCTGAAATGGAGGTGTGCCGTGCATGACAAGGGATGCGGAAACACCTGTGTCGCCAGAACTGAGTAGACTTTAGAAAGGAAGGCTTGCCAGAACGAGAGCACATACCATTCATGAATCCTCTTCCACTCGATTTCTGCGGTGGGCATCGCCTTCTCAACGACCTTGCAGGTTTCAGGAGCAAGCACATCGCCATCACAATACTGTTATATGGTCAGGCTCGTCATGAAAAGTAACTGTGCATTACCTACCTTGCCTCTAATACCGGTGACAATATACTCTCCTGGGACACCTGCATTTAGCACGACGTCATTCTTGTTTTCCTGGGTGTGTAGTTTCTTGTCCCATGGCTTCATGCGCTTGCCATCCCCACTGGCAGGCTCGAACCTCATATCAATGTCCCATAGCCCATCCACGGGGTCTGCGTTGGATACTGTTAGTGCTACCGGAGCCTCTGAGCCAATCAGGAGTGAAGTCGGATTTCCTGGACCACATGCTTTGAAGGACACACTCGGACGGCGCAGAACAGAAAGGGACCGTGTTATTTTCCCATCACGATACCCTTCGTTGAGGTGCACAACGTTTCCCATGCCATCGATAACACTCTCCAGGTTATACGTGTGCTTGCCGAGAACATCCAATGACAAAGACAAGGGAACTTTGAGTTTCTGAGGTATACGAGCGCGAGCGACCTCTTGTGCGGTATGCGAGTGGCTGCTGTCTTCAATGCCTTCAACAAGGAAATATTCTTTCCTCCCGTTAACATCCTTCGACCACTGTAGGCTCAGCGGAGGAACACCTCGTATGTCGATGGTAAGGTCCACATCAGATGTTTCACCAGCACAGCGAACATCTTGCACAGCATCATCAGTGTACTGGGCAGTCGGGCAGGGTACAACGGTCACTTCGACTGGGTGAACAAGACGTGCCGCAACATTTGAACTGTCAAGCACCCGGTCAAGTCTTATGGTCCCTGGCTTGGAAAAGCGAAGATGTAACAAGCTTTGTGTCTTTTGGAGGCGGGCGCCAGCATCGGTTTCTTCGTCATCCTCGTCATCGTACTCATCATACCCGCTCGCATCCTTGCTTCGCACAACCTGCAGCCCCTCTACTCTAGCTTGCTCGATTGCTTTTAACTCCTTCGTTCCCAATTCAAGGTATTCCACGCGCCCCGAGCCAAGTGGGATAAAAGAATAGCGCACATTGGTCGGTATCGTGTTGTTCACAAGGATTGGAACAAGCACGTGCGCAGGCGAGACAGGTGGGAGGCAGAAAATATGGGAGTGTGGATTGAAATGAGCAGTGCTGATAGGAGACATGCGGACTGTGTGTTGGCCAAGCAGACGGGCATCTTTGGAATTTGTGTTGAACGAAAAGAGACCGAATGTCAGTGGAGCGAAGATATCAGATAGACGGAACGGTTCTGGAGTAGATGGAAGGTCTGGGCGATCTTGTATAGTATCATGAGCTCAGTCAAAGATATGAATTTATGGCAAACTTACTTGGAATTCCCGAGGGTACGCTACTTATTTCGGAGGATCCCATTAACCCAAGATTTAAGCTAATTCCTCCGAACAACATGCCATCGAGAAACCAAATGGATAGAATTTGGAGCAAGACGACAGCCCTGCTGTACTTTAAACGTGGTATTCGGAGCTGAGAGAGCGTCGCAATGTATGTAAAATCAACTATGAGCCATTTTCTGCCATAGTATGTCGTTGCATCGGACGCGAAGATGTTTTGGAGGACGTCGAACACCTTGATGGCCTGCCAAGAATAGAAATGTGTCAGACCCGTGATGTTTTGGTAGCATATACAAGGCACGGAATATGAAAGAAGACCTCGCCAGGAAGAACTTGAAAACTGTTTAAAGCCACTTACCTGCAGCAGCAAGCCCAAACTCAAATAATATAAACGCTGAGAGGGTACGTCGAGGAGCCGCTCTGGTATGAGTGGCCGTTCGCCTGGAGGCGGTGTTGGTTCACCAGGCATATAAACACGCTAGCTTATTATATTACGGTCAGATAAACCAGCCCCAACACTAAATCCTAAGAAACTGCAGTCACGGACCTGAAAGTCTGGAGGAAGGACGAATGCACGTGACCGCCATCGATTGTTCGGTCAGAAAAGGCAACTGGATTTGACGGGTGTGTTCCGGCTCCGAAGCGCCTTGAACTCTCTCTCACCTTCTTTGTACAGCTGATCTGTTTTGCAGGTATCACACAAAGCACTCGAATAACAGACAGACAGACGCCGTACTACGTGGCCAGTTTTTCTTAGGTTGCGATCATTCATTGCGATCCCAGTGGTCTGCCAGACTTTACAATCACATTGTAAGTACCAATATGGCACATTAAAAGCTCCAACGTATCGAAAGATGCCTAACTCGGTTGTCCGTGCCTTCAGCAGGTTTATTAAGCGATAACAAGGGAGTCCTGTCTTGTCTTGTCCATACCACGATGGCCATGAACAACTTAAAGCACTCACTGCCACCGCTCCCTCCCATCGAAGGAGAGCTCATGCTCGACGTATATACGCATCAGTCTTTGCTGAGTAAAGACATCGACGAGAATACCGTGCATGGAAATACCGAGCGATTGGCTGAGCTTGGTAGCTCGGTGCTCAGTATGCTCGTCGTGTACACATTGTACTCAGAGAAACCGATGCTTCCCGCCCATGATCTTAAAGTTCGTAATTGTCAAGAAATATCATTTTTGTGTATTGCTGAGATGGCACCATAGATGCGCCAAGCTGACATGCTGAGCGACAAGAACATTGGAGACTGGCTTTCTCTTTACGGATTAAAGGCTAAAATTCGTTGTACAGACAAAAGTGTACTTGACAGGCCTGAAGAAGCTCGTTTCTTCTTCAATTCTTACGTCGGCGCCGTGTACACCCAGAAGGGATTGCAAGAAGTCACGAACTGGGTCGGACGCCTTGTCAACCCTTCCTCGGAGCCTCCAACAGTACCAGGAGATACAACCAACAACCAGCCCGCTGCAACGCCGCCTCCACCACCTCCAACGTATTATTCTCAGCCCCCACCCCCGCCTCCGCCAAGCACTGCGCCTCCTCCAATGCCGTCGATGCCGCCACCCGTGCCCTCTCAGGGTGTACTTGCAATATTCAATCAGACGTGTATGCAAAGGGGACTCACTGTAGAGTGGAAACCGGAGATGACGGGGCCACCGCACAATCCGAGGTGGGAAGTGAAATGTATTGGTAAGCTCCTAGCCTTCTTTTGTGTGCTCGGTTATCTGAGCAACTTGGAAGTGAGCGGACAGCATCGTGGAATCGGGGTAGGTAGAAACCAGAAGCAGGCAAAGGAGCAAGCAGCGACAGAGGCATATCAGTACATGCAGGCTACAGGCTGGGGCCGTAAGTAGCCAGAAATTGCCAATGCGCCCAATTTCTGACCTTTGTTCTAGTCCTCTAGCAATAGCAGACAACATTCGGGCTTATATCAACGGAATGTATCAGTATATTATCTGAGTCTTCTGTATTCGTATGATTTTCTACCCAACTGCCTCTTATTTCAAAGTCTCCTTCCCTCGACCTGGTTTCCGCTGGTTGGGCAGTTATCGTTGTATCGGTTCGGATACTAGAGTCGCTACCACAAGTGTCGGATAGACTCGTTCTATTTGAATGACATTCCGATGTTCACACCAGGTGACCGACAGATTATCTTCCATCCAACATGGCCTTGCTTCGTAAGGTAATTCTTTGATACACGCGTGAGATAAGTCCCTCTTTGGAAGCTCCTATTACGCCCTCCGCCTTTGTGCTTCCACTGATCTTCGCTATACCATGATCGATAAATACCTTGAGTTCTGCCACTGATCTTGAGCTCGCCGAAACATCCCTTGCCCTAAGCTGTCACTGAACCACTAGACTACTTTGCAATATGGTTCCTCCACTTCCTCCGCTGCACGAAGATCTGATGCTCGATGTTTTCACACATCGCGCTTTGACTCAAGGTGTCATTAATGACCACACGCCACATGGAAATAGCGATAGACTCGCACAACTTGGAAAATCGGTGTTGAACACCATCGTGACGTTTATATTATTCGCAGAAAGACCTATGTTGTCTGCCGAAGAGCTGAAGGTATGCTCGTGATACCGTGATCGCTCGTACTTAATCGCTATAATGTGGCTAGACCAAACAGGAGCAAATCCTAAGCAACGAAAGCATGGTTGCTTGGCTTGACGCGTATAATACCGAACTGAAGAGACGTGTGAGAGGAGGGAGGGGCGCTCTCGACAACCCCGAGGTATGGAATATTACCATGTATATGAAATGCACGCCGTATGACTGCCTTTCTTCAGGAAGCTCGCTTCCTTTTCAACAGTTACGTTGGAGCTGTTTGTCTCCAAGATGGCTTACAGGCGGCAACTAACTGGGTCAGTAAACTTGTGAAGCCTGAGAGCCAACCACCGGCTTTGGTGGATGACTCGCAAAACAACACTTTGTCGATGGTACCACCTTTATCACCTGCCAGTGCGGCGGCGTCACTCCCGGCCACCCCTCAGACGGCGGGTACGTCGCAAACCGCCCCGCCTCCATATTATCCGACCCCCCCGCAAGCATCAACCATACCTTCAGGAGTTCCCCAGGGCACACTTGCCCTGTTCAACCAAACTTGTCACCAACGGGGAATTCCTGTCGAGTGGATCGCTTCCGCAAATGGTCCGCAGCATGATCCCAGGTGGGAAGTGAAATGTAAAAGTAAGATAACTTGGTTCCAGTCTCGAACGACTTGTTGATTTATGTAGTAAACGATGCCGAGCGGGGTTTTGGTCTCGGTAGAAACCAGAAAATAGCAAAGGAATTAGCGGCATATGAAGCGTATCTGTATATGCAAAGTATTGGTTGGACCTGTGAGTTCCAGACACTATCGTCTCTGTGCTTTCCTTACTGTCAACACAAGTGCCACAGCCAGAACCGACTGCGTAAACCTCAGGCTCGTTCTTGTTCATGCATCTATTGGTGCTTTCGTGTTCTCAATTGTATTATCTCCATTGTGTCCTACTCGCACAATACAGGATTTGTTTCACCCCCAGAATTAATATCCAATACAGTTTAAATTTCAGTCACGGTTGCTCCAACGACCCCCAAAGAAAAGAACCGATGCCCCTGCCGGTGTTGGGGGAGTGTCTCACGAGAAGATCTATACAGAATGTGGCCGTTGCATGTTACACCCATTGAAGTAATTGAATGATGATACAAAGAGCAAGGGAATAACCACATGTCTTCGAGCCTCTTGTCACTTAGGAGTTCCAGCACACTAGGATGCGGAGCTGGACCGAGCCAGCTAACCATTAGGCAACGACGGATGAACGCATCTAAAGATGGTACGTCGTCTGCGTTCAGAAAACCAAACCCGTGGAGAAAGTGTTCAAGGCTGCGGCATGGCTTCCAATCGGTGATTGGCAGAACATGGGGACCTAGTTGATAGTAGTATCGAACTACGTCCCAAGCGTCTTCAGCACGGGAGTGGCCGAAAACGTGATAATGTAGTTAGTGACGAGCTCAAAACATAGTATTAGTGCAACGATATCATCAAAATTGTTATGCAAAACTTGCAGTTGCCAGATCTGAGTCAACATGGGTAACGTACGTAACCTCTGGCATGTGAACAGTAGGGACTCGGCAGAAATTGTATTCTGATTAGGTGGGCGTTATGTTAAAATGAACTTGAACATAAGTATAGTCCGGTCAATCAAAGCCCCATTCCATCTTGCTGTTCCGTAGTCCATGAGCCGAACGCTGAGAGGGAAAAGGCTGCGACTTGGTAACTCTTTGAGAACTTCGTGGGTGCTCGGAAAGAAGTTAGTTCCAGTCAAATTTTAGTTGTCTTGACTAGGAGGCTCAGTATTTTGTAGAAAACGCCGAGGATCAACGAGAAACTTGTTCCCCTTAATTAGAGGTAGATGGTGGACAAAGGGACAGTGATGTTCCTACTATTTCGTCGTCTGCATCTATTCGCTGCATGATCATACCTGACCTTCAGTGGAAAATTTTCCAATTGATCCATGACGCCTTTACGGAGCGCTGGAGGAATAGAACACTCCTGGCGCTTGCTTCGACGTGCAAGTCATTCACTGGACTTGCACTGGACCTTCTATGGCAGGACCTATCTGGGCTTGCACCACTTATCAGTATTGCTCGATCTTTCCCCAATTAATAGGGTGCCTCTAGGAGGAATGTGGGCGAAGTCGCTCACACTGTTACACATGTTCCTTGCTGTATCACTATAACCCTGAATCGGCCATGAAGGATATTTTGATTCCAACACCAGCATGCTCTCGGCCAGACACATTGCATCCTCATGGGTTGCTTGTTATTGTCGGAATTGGGAAGTGGAAGCGTGACAGTTATATCCAGAAGGTGCTAGCTAGCAAGGCAAAGCAGTGACTGATATGTACGCACCTGGGCAAGTCTACTATCAATCTTAAACTGAACAGGGGCGATATGGCTCATAGTTTATCGGCAGCGCATTAGCCTGGTGAATGGCCTGATACATGGTGAACGTCAAATGAGAACAGTACTTATTGATGTCCGAGTCTGTGATAGATGAGCATGAGCGTGATTAGAGCCAGCTGGTAAAATTATTGCATACATAATAGTATCCAACACCATCAGCTGAACGTGTAGTTGTGAATATACGTACACAGCACCTTTGTCTTGGATTCTGGTTGGCTACGACACTATAGTGAGGCTACTCTCGAAGAGGCCTTGTATCCTGACAACCTTTTGCTTCTATAAGAAAATAGATCATCGTCAGCAATGGTGCGTGTAATGAGGATGAATGCTGGAGGACAAACCTTCGAGCCTCAAAGGTAGGCATATTTACTGAGTCTAGGATGGTTTTCAAAAGCATCATTGGACTTGCAATTATTATACAGTTTTAGTTTTGCTCTTACTGCCTGTTTCCTCAACATTAGCGTTGATAAGGAAAGGACGACAGTCCCTAAGCTTCTATTTGGTCTGCCCAAAGTTAGAGCGTTATTTACACAAAAACAGGACGTGTGGATCTTGTCAAGATATTCAGCAGAGGTTCCTTCATTGCAGTACCACTTGCCAATATAAGAATACAAACTGGACGGCCCATATCTGCTCATGCTTCGTTGTAGTTGATTCAGCTGCTCAACATGCTTAGAACGCACAAGTGGTTCCAACTGCTCTGCGGAGAGCCTTAGTACGACGTTCTTCTTCACGAAATGCATGAACTCTTCTTGCCTTGCATTGGGTGGAATATGAGAATACGTGATGATCTGTTCGATGGAGAGAACCTGCCCCGAACCGTCTGTATGACTCCGAGGTCTCAAGTAGTCGAAGTTCCGTGGTATCTTCACGTGCTCCTGCGAGCTTCCCATCGCCACACTCTCGTTCCTGAGAAATATATGTATCTCACTCGTCTTGGTGTTCAGCATAGTCGTTCCTGTCCACATTGACGCGCCGCAGCATTGGTGGGCCATCGAAGGTTGCGGTTGCGTAGTCGCGGTGAAATGCGTGCGCGTACTATAGCCACTGGAGATGATTGATCATTAGAAGCCATTCCTTGTTATTGCAGTGACAATCTGGCAGATGAGGGGTGCACAAGTCAACAATATTAATAAACTCTTTGGGCCATCTCAAGGCCGGGTGTGACTCGGAACTCAGCGGAGTCGCCGAGTCTTAAATGCCAGGCAGCAGTAAATCAATGAAGACGCCAGTCACGTGATTGTCACAAACACGACCACACGCGTATAATTGACGGACCGATGATCGTTGACTGAACATTCGCCTTCCTTCTTTCACCACCATCATCGTCGACACTACGAGTGTTATCCGCCTTCTCTGTAAATTGTCGAAACACATATAACTCACTGCATACAGCATGTCTGGACGTGGAAAGGGTGGCAAGGTGTGTTATATTGGTTGGCGTCGCCTCATCGTTGCTCCGACTCACAGTGCAATAGGGCCTCGGGAAGGGTGGTGCTAAACGTCACCGCAAGATTCTTCGTGACAACATCCAGGGTATCACTAAGCCAGTGCGTCTATAAAGCTCGGCACTCGACCGTCTGCTCATAATGTTTCTAGGCTATTCGCCGTCTTGCCCGTCGTGGTGGTGTGAAGCGTATCTCAGGTCTCATCTACGAGGAAACCCGTGGTGTCCTCAAGATTTTCTTGGAGAATGTTATCCGCGACTCTGTCACTTACACCGAACACGCTAAGCGGTAAGCCCCACAACTCACTTCAGTACTCACTCATTCATCCATACTGTAGTAAAACGGTCACTGCTCTTGATGTCGTTTATGCCCTGAAGCGGTCGGGGCGCACTCTATACGGTTTCGGTGCATGATTTATTCCTTTGTATGTGTAGTATGTACCAGTAGTGCCTTAAATATCTCACTCACTCACCCTCCAAATCGGACGGGCCGTTTATCATCTTGGCGTCCTTTCAGATATCCATGATGGTGTGTGTTGTGTTCAGGCGAGTTCGGGGTGGGTCTCCGTTTCTGAGTGTGGTCATCTCCGGCAGCTCGGCCGTTGCGTGCTCGGCAATAGTGACTGGTGGGGCAGACATGAGTTCATGCAAACTTGATATGACGTAACTGTGTTCTCCAGCTGATGAGGCCCTCCGTCTCCGAGTGTATTGCATCAGTCTGGTACCTTCGAGTATTCTGCCACCCTTCGATGGTCCCAAGGGAGAGCTGCCAACCAGGGCATCGCTTGCCAATGTAAGAACTGCTACCGGGTTTGCATGGGCATCCGACCTAGACGGCCCATGCCTGCGCATACGCCTGCGACTTGCCATTCGTTGTACTTGGTTCAGCTGTTCGACGTTCTTGGGACGCTCAGGCGGCTCCAGCTTCTCCGCGGAGAGCTTCGGCACGACGCTCTTCTTCACGAGATGCACGAATCCGACCTTCTTACCCTGCATTGGGTGCAGCAAGAATGGAGAACATGAAAACGTCAGTGGCGTGATGATTTTCTCGCCGGGGAGGACCCTCCGCGACCCGTCCGTGTAACGGTCGTCCACGAGGTAATCGAATTTCCATTGCATCTTCACATGTTCCTGCGAGCCTCCCAGCGCCATGCTCTCGCTCCCGAGAACGGTATACACACCGTTCGTCTTGATGTTCAGCGCCGCGTGCCGGGAGAGATAGTCACGCGACTCGTCCCCACCAACACTGACGCGCCGTAGTATCGGCGGACCATCGAGAGTCGCATAGTGGAATGCGAAGCTCTCGCGCTTGACTGGCATAAACTCCGCAACGCCTCCGCTCACGTCGGAGGAGACGCCACGCCCGCCATATGGGAGCAGTGAACGGGAGCGTGGGGAATACCCCATGAGTCGCATCATGGATCGGATCGCGCGGAAGCCTTCCTGGTCAATCCAGAGTTCAACTTCGGTCCCTCCGAGCCAAGCCAGATCGCGTGGAAGATAGGGATGCTTAGAGACGCCTGAGGTAGTACTTGCAGAAGGACACGAATGTATAGAACTTGCCGAAGGAGAGTCAGTGAGCTGCCAGCGGGTTGTGCGTACAGGTGCGATGACTGGGGACTGGGGTTCACGGGCATGTGGATGCAGCCGAGAAGTCCTTGGGATTGAGCGAGGGGTCTTCAAGTGATGAATGGCTCCCGAGCGTTCCAGTGGTCTGCGATGTCTCCTGGAGTATGTAAAAGATATGGGAGAAATTACATCTACACTGGGCGATGGCGACGGAGGAGCAAAGGAAGGTGTCGGCAGTGTCGAGAATGTCGCTGAGGTGCCAAGGTGTATAGTTTGCTCGTTCTCTTTGTCCTCTACAGGAATAGCCATAGCTAAATTGGATGTCATTCTGGAGTTGAAAACCCAGGCTTGTCGGTTTGCGCCTCCGAGAGCAATCCTAGCGCTGGGGGTTTCTGACAGCGACGAGCCGGCCGAGTCCGATACAGCCAAGCTACGAACATGTGTCAACTGGAACAGAGACTTGGACGGGGGGCTTGGGGAAGGTGAGGGGGTAGAAACGAGCGACTGGGACGACTGAGACGACTTGGGAGTGAAAAAGACTTCGTCAAGCAGTGATTCGCCGACACTGCGGGGGCTTGCAAGATTAGAGGACAGTGCTGCCAGTGAGGAGGCTGTCATCTGGGACCTAGGCAACTTTGAGACTCTTCCCTGTGCAGCTGTTGTGTCTATTTCAAGTGTACTCAATTTCGGTGGGGTGCATACGTCGGTGTCATATCCAAATACGAGGGGCGAGTTTAAGGGCGTAGAAAATTTGTCAACTACGAAGTCGACGACGAGCGGTATTTCACCAGACGTGCTTGGTGATAGTAGGTCACTTGATTTGAGAATAGGTGACGGAGGGTAAAGCGTAGTGGCAAGCAAACGCAAGTCAGAAGACGTGCGGGTCAGACGGACGTGCGTTGAGGACAGCATACTTTCTGCGAATGAGTAGGCCAGCAAGGAGGAAGATAAAATGACTGTAACAGTCAAGTAGCAGTACCATCTTTCTCTAGTAGGTCAGCCGCACTCTCGTATTCAATGTTCACGGGGGCTGACAACAATCATTATTGCACATATATCTACATGGCGTCGCCACGCACAACATTTTATAGCTTTCCATCCTGAAGACGCGACGCAACCTCGACTTCTTTCTCGTGCACTTTCTCCCTATTTTTCAGCAGGCAGTAATCTCCGAACTCGTTCTTGTCTTGCCACCACGAACCAGGGAGCCAGAGCGCGCGGGTCAATAGTGATGAATGTGATGCGTCGAGGAATGGGAAGCATGATACTCGTTCCCAGGTATCGTTGTCAACTGCGTATCGCGGTTCTAGAAGTGATGACACTGGGTGCTCGGGGAAGTCTAAGTCTACAAGGTAGTCGCAAGACTCAATGGGCACCTGAAAGAGAGTCAACGAAATGCCTCGGGTAAAATCGTTCGACCACTGACACAAAATTCTGGTGCCTCCTTATTAAGGTCGTTCAAGCTCGCTGGGGTGATCCTCGAACCTGGCCTGTCCCACCATCCATTGGAGGTCGATTCGACATGAATCTCTTCAAAATGCGCAGGAAGCAGCCCCCCGAACTCGCTCTTCACAAAGTCGACTTTCACGCCGTTGGGAATGAGGTAGTGACCCGGGAAACGATACCACTCCTTCCCTAGACAGAGCCTCAGATCAAACGCCCTTATGGGTGCCAAGTCGATGGAAGGTCTATCAATCTCTTCCGTCCCGGGAAGAAGAGGCGGGAGAAGCCCAGTAACATTCAGCAGCCGCGGAAGCTCATCAGCCTCGAGGTGGCTGAACGTGGAAAGCGGCGCGTGGTAGTAATGCCACAACGCAAGGACGCGAGACAGAGAAATAAGCCCCGTTACGGCGATCACGGTGCACGTTGTTGCACCAAATATGATGGATCTTGAAGCCTATTGTGACAGTCGAGCAAAGCAAACGTAAGCAAACGCATGTGTGGATAATAAGCATAAATATACCCTATATGAAGACTTGGTGGCGGAGATGTATGCGACTTCCATCCATCCGCGGATGAGGTATAGGGCCACGGCTGCATTAAAACAAATGAGGGGATATGCAGGGAACATGAAACGTTCCTCCTTGTGCGCTTGCGCTGTTAAGATAGCCGTCCAGACATATAGTGGTGCTAGACGAAGGGCGAGTAGCGTAAACGGAGAACTCTGGTCTGGGCCAGGTTTGGATATCCCGAGCCGCTTGCGATCGACCCTATAGGTAACTGCAAGACTAGGCAGAGAAATAAAAGCGAGAGGCACGAGGATATTAAAGTTCAAGAGGAGGTTGAGGATGTAGAAGTACCAGGGGGCTGTGCCGTATAGATCAGGACCACGTTCGGACCCACCAAAGACATTGTAACGGACAATGTTCCAAGGTACGATGCTCCATCTGCCATACGCAGCACTATCAATCGCTATGACGGGAACCTGCGACAAAAGCAATTATTAGGTATGGGCGAATGATGCATAGTGAGCGCCTACAAATATCAGAACGGACACAAGACCGGCAATGAAGAGGCGTTTCCAGCGGGAAATCATCCATGATTTGCGTGAGTTTGGATCAACTCGATCTCCACCAAAAACGAGTAATTCTTCAGACACAAAAGGCAGCGAGAGAGCAAGTGCGAAAGGCCATCCAACAATAGCTCCTGCAGCAAAAAGCATTGTTGCAAATAAAGTTCTCCGCTTGTTCTTGATGCTCGGTGGTTCGAGGGAATACGTAAATGCGATCGTGGTTGCGTACATTGCGAAAGAAGAAGGGAGGAGGGCTATGTGGATACTCAGCCAAAACGAAGATTTTGACGAAAACATGGAGAAAGGATCCTACCCGGAGCAGCGTTCCACATGCCTGCACTGAACAGCAGCATAAAAAACAAGTAACGACCAACCCGTTCGTTAATTTTCTCGACTACAGTGCGGCATAGTTTGGCTTCGCAAAGCGTAGATACAACGGCTAAAGTTATGCGGACTGCGAAGAATGCAGGGCGCTACATCGAAAAGTTCAACGCGATAGTAAATGCAATCGTATTACGAAGACTCACCTTTCCAAGGTTAAGAGTTAGGGGGAGGCGTGCAGGTATGAGGTGTAACAAGACATATGCCCAACTTCGAATGGCATACATCGGGGTGACTTCCCATGTCTGGAAACCATGACCATGATCGATGTAGTGTAGTGGTTCCCAAAAATTAAACACTGACGTGACATGTAACTTAGAGAATTAATAAACACAAGTTTCTGTGTTACTCACCCTCATCACAATCTTGTATATTGGTGTACATAGCCGCTGCTACTCGGATGAGCAACAGGATGCGTACCGCTGTCAAAAAGTCCGGATTCCATGGTTTGCGAGCGGACCTGGAGAAATCATGGGTAGAAAATCATAAATGAGTAAGACAAAGTAAATTACCTGCGAAGCTGATCTTGCAGAATGCCAGAATGCCGTGCAACAGACGGAATAGATGGTTTTGGGTCCTCTTGCGTCTCAAGCGCAAAGTTTGAACATTTGAGGCCATGAAGACCTGACTTTTCTTTGAAGCAGTACAACCCTCAAGCGGCGAGGTTGGAGAAGCTGTGGTCCGCACTACCACGTGATCGATGTGTCATAACGTTTACGTAATGAGGCACAATAATTCCGCGGTCTTGACTTTGTTGATCATGTGACTGAATCGTGTAGTGGACCAACATGTGTCGATTCTCGAACCCCTGGCGTCGTTCGCGCGTTGTCGAGCTGACCTGCGACGATTCTCTCGTCTTGTTTTCTGAAATTAGAAATTGCGCAGTTCGGCAAAGTTGCTCCATTAAGCGGTAGTCGCTGGATGGAGCCCGGTTGCCGTACTGAAGAGGACTGCCAGATCTACGATATACATCTGGTAGTGGCAAGGTGAAAGCCTGATAGAGTCAAAAGACGCGCGGAAGGGTGATCAATAACTAAGTAATGGTTGATTCGCAGCCATGGTCGGTTCCAGCGCGCGTGCTTCCGTGACGCTTCGCGAAGCGGAAGATCAGATTCGGGACTCCCTATGGTCTATAGGCTGCTGTATTCACCAACGGGATATGCTGAACATGGAAAATGCCGGCCTAGTTTGGGTTATCTTCCAATATTGAAATAGGCTTCCTTCTGCCTTACCGTGGCGTCGCAATTGTCGCCCCCGTACTAGCTTACTACTCGCCCTTCGTGTTGTCACTGTCCTCATCCAAGTTTTTTCTTTCTTTCTTCACTGTCGTCTAGCATCCTCATTTTTCATCTTTTCACCCCCTCAACACACGATGGGGGAACTGGAAACAGCTCAACATTTTATTTACATGTAGGCAACTTTTCTGACCAGAAAGCTACTTCTAACGCGTTTTCTGCAGCACACAGGTCTACTTTTGCTGTAAGGACTCGGAACATTGTAGGAAACGCGATTTTTGCTGACCTCGCTCCCCCCTGTCCACTAGGCATGTGTACGTATTGAAATAGATAAACACTCTTCGTCGACAATTTCTCATTAGTACTAATTCGCAGATGCTGTCGTTGTCTGGGACTGGGCCATTAGCTTGCCTAGAGAATGGCGTTTTGTAAATTTTATAATTGCTCACCCGGGTGTTCCTACTGACGAGCACATCAAAGATCTGGAAGACTCATTGGACGCCCGTCAAGACTGCATATCTCTTCTGTCGGTAAGTATCGATTATAGGCAATTTTGAATACAAGTCACCACCGCGTTCTTTAGCTACTGGGTTATTGCCGTCGTTCCGTATCTTTTATATGCTTTTGTCACCAACCACACCGAAGCAGAGTGCCAGAGAATTTACAAGGTCAGTAAGGCGCATATATCCCGCAAACTATCACTCAAATCCCGCTGTAAGATTCCTGTCGCATTGGCCATGTGGAACCAAGTTGGGTCCGAGTGTCCGTCTTTCCTTACTGTTCTCCCAGTTTTCACATATTGAATTCCGACCGTACATGCCAGCTGTTCTGCTCATTCGTACTTACGCGTTTTTCAACCGTAATAACTACCTACTGGCAGCACTTATATGTGCGCTGGCTGGTGTTGTCGGGTATCAACTTTTTGTCGATACTTCTGAAATGATGCGTATGTTTCTCAGCACTGATGATTTTAATTTTACTCTAACAAAAACTACCAGTTCTTCCGTTTGTCACTCCGCCCTTTGTGAGTCACTCTCGCAACTCGAGGGGAAAATCTAAAACCGCTAGCATAGACGGAAGGGCCATGTTTCCCCATTTCTAGGCCCCATTCGGCTCACTTGCTCGGTGAGTTCTCATTTGCGACTAACTTGTATTTTTCCTTACTTATCGAGCTTCCAGGTTTCTTCGTGAGTTTCACTCTCGTCAACTTTGATTAGTCTATAACGTTTGTAGATTGCCCCACTTCTGTTCGACACTATAGTTACTGCTATCACTGTCTGGAAAGCATTTGCAATTCGCCGCCGCAGTGGTGGACCAAGTAGCAAACTCATTCAAACTTTCCTTCGAGAAGGTTCTGACTCGTATGCTTAACGTATACAACCTACTAACTCAAAAAATCAGGTGTCTTTTACTACATTCTCATCTCTATTGCCAACTTGGTATGCCTGATTTTCATTTCACACTTGCTCTCGTAAACTAATTATTGCTCCAGATCAATGGAATTTTCTACCTTCAGTCAGTGCATGGTGGTAGTGCGTTTCGTTGTTGTTTATGTTTATTCACAGACCTCGTCAAGTGATATCTGCGCTCAACATCCCACTGAGCGTTATGATGGCGCCATTGTTGGCATGTCGTTTGGTATGCTCGATTTCCAATATGCATATTCAAAAGCATCCTCATTCGTTCTTTTCAGATCCTTGATCTTCGTGAACGTGGCGCAGAGACCGTTTCCCATTCAGAAGGAACGGGCGTTAGCGCATTCGCAACAAAATCCGGTGTGATTACCTCCAATACTGGTCACCGCGGAAAGCCTAGCCGCGGACGCCACCGCGGCCCAGGCTCAACGATCACTTCAAACGTTATGTTGAGCACTATAGGAAGCATTCCGCCCGATCTTGAAGCAGCTGAGGTGGAGCTTGACGAGATGCACTTTGAGCTCGGGATGGGCTATGGTGGAGATAGCACACGCTCACTGGGTTCGGTGGAAAATGCCACACCAGCCCCCGCCTACAACTCGATTGAAATGGGGTTCAACGCTCGGCCAGGAAGTGTGACTGACGAAAGTGGAGCAGCTGGCATGTCGTCCGTCTCAGGGATTAGGATTGACATAGAGAAGACGACGTCCACGATATGAGCACCAGACGGCTCTGTGCTCTCCAATTCAAGTTCTCGTTTCTGCTCCGGATCGCATTGCATTGATTCCAGATTCTCATTGATATCCACGCAAAGGACGGTTCGTGCATTCTGCACTTGCATTCACTAGACTACGCCATGCTGTCCCTCGGAACCCGTGCAGCGCGTACGTACATCAACGTTTAATCATGTACTTTTAGCTTCTCCCGGTCCCGGATTACCCAAGGTTTTCAAGTACATAAAAACTCCTCGGGTTTTATACCCGCTTCTGCCCTCCCGTTCCTTGATTCTCGTTCTGTCTATACCGTGTATTTTTGTGACCCAATACGCAACCCATACGCGCCAACTGGCATAGGACATTGTCTGAGCCACTTCACCCTGGCGGCGTGAACCCTGGTGCCTCCATAATTGCTGAGTCAAATTGCACCCGCTTTACTGGTCCAATTCCGTTGAATCGTCCGAGTGTTCTTAAGGGCACGTTTTCTCCGCAAGTTTAGATCCGCAGTTGTTGCTCTCCCTCATGTATATATGACTTGTACAACAGTGCGAACGATGAACAGTGTTCGCGTATTCAATCTGCTTGACCTGCCGCAAGAGATAATCCTTCATATTCGTAAGTCATTGTAATATATTGCGACGACTCTCCTCATGTTAACCGGTACTCATTGTCATGAATCTGATAGTGTCATTTCTGGATCTGCCCGACCTTGCAGCACTCTCCAAACTTCATGGTTATCTCGCTCTTTTAGCAGCTGACCCAGTGCTGCATCTCATACGACTCCGAGTAGTCGCGCCATCACGCGTCGGTCATTCCCTATTCGCGCGAAGCCCTCACGGTACCTTACTCAGACCAACCATCACGGACCTCGTGCATAGGCACGTCATCCGCGGACATAATATCGAAAGAAGATTGCGCATGGGCCTGTATATCTACACAGAACACGTAAGAACGCGTCTAGACTCTGCTCGATGATAAACCCAACCACTAACAACCACGCGCAGTCTGTGGATCAGTACGACAGCGGCCTGCGACTACAACGCGAACGTACTGGTCATATTATTGCTTCGCATCTTCGAAGACGTGCGCCTGCACCTGTTGGCCTCAAGTTGTTGTATCACTCTCATATTTTACCTGACATCGAATCGTCGTTGCTCTCTGTTTCGCGGTCTTTGTTGCCTGTGGTTAGAAAGCTCAAATGGTCCATTCAGCGAGACAAACTGGCCAACGAAGTGCGAGGCTTGAGTGGTTCCCTGGGATCGGGGAACTCGGCACTTCCGTTGACCGGAAGCTTGGGTGCTTGGATTGAGCTGAAAGGGCAAGGTGTTGTACAGGACTGTGAACGGGTACGCCTCGCGTTATGCCCGGATGTACGTAGGATGGTGAAGTTTTATGAAAGCTTGGGACACTGAACTTCATTTATTATTTTATGTTCTTCACCATAGACAGTCAACGGTGTGTATTAGGCATAACTGAATTGAATAGTATTGTGTGTGCACAGTGCAGAAAAATTATTGTCTCGATATGTCCCTTCCATCTGACTATAACCGTTCTATGCCTGAGGCGTGTCTCCCGTTGTTGAATTCCACGCACTACCTGGGGGTACCTCCCAGTCTCCATGACATCCCCACGCCCAGTCTGTCCCTTGGATCGTCTCCTGCTGAGCTTCAATGAAGGCGGGAAGTGGGCACATTCCGTGCTTGTCATCATACGGGCAGGTGCGAATCCCATGAAGAGGAACGACGCCATCGTTGATGATGATCCGGATTTGGGGTTCCGGGGTAGATGCGCAGGAGAGGACTGAAAAGTAGGTGCGGAACGTAGAATCATCGTGGGAAAGAACAAAACGTAACTTAGCAAAACTCCAAAACAGAAGCAATCACAAATCGCTCACGCTGGAACTGCATATTAGTCGCGAAAGGTGCGAGATCTGCGGAACGGAATGAACGGTCTTTAGGGATATGGTCTGCAGGAAGAGGACCGCTTGCTGCGAGCGTGCTCAGATTAAGCGCTGTGATAACTACGTGCCGGTAACCGATCAGCTATCATGTGGCGAGTATGATATTGCATGGTACAATATGTAAGAGCACGTACTATTGAGGACAACAACTTCATGCGTAGCGTCTACATAGAGAGCATGATCTAGCGGGAAAGTCTCGGGCGTGTGAAGTGTGGCGTTAGTGCTGCTGTTGTGGGTCGCAATCGGGATATGGGTAAGTCGCGCGACGAGCTCTTGGAGATAGCCGACACCCTGGACGCGAGCAACAGGTGAACCGAAAGCAGAGTCATACCTACGGGTTTGGGGCAAATCACAGTCCGAGCAGTCGGAGAAAGAACATGGTCAGCAAAAAAACCTACAGACGCAAGCACGTGTGCTGACCAGAATGTCAAATCAAGCCTATAATAACGCATAAGTGACTGTCAGTAAATAGTACCGCAGGAGACAGAAAGGGAAGAAAAGGACATACGCATAATTAAAACCCTCCCACTCTTCTTCTGTGAAGAGATCACAGAATCTGGAGTAACCGAGAGCAACAGTCTATCAATGATACAGTCAGTTACAATAGGCAGGACGTTCTACCACAAATGGGCGTACCTCATAGGCACACATCTGCATCATCTCGTACACTTCCTCCCCGGTCCAAGCGAACTCACCCTGCAGACCGTCCTTTCCGATCATCGCCCTCGACAGTCGTTCCCGGGCTTCTGCTAGGAAGTGGGAAACCCATTCTCTAACGTAGGGCAGCGAGCGGTCCGCTTTGCCGGCGGCTTTGGCATTTGGGCAGGTCTTGTAGGGGGCGAAGGTGTTGTTAAACTGACAAAATATATCAGAGTGAGTATTGTGTCTTTTGGGGAAGGTGCTATGCGCAGGGAAGGGGCAGATAAGAAGATGTACCGGAAGAGGACAAACGAAATTCGAACTGTTAACAGCATAAGGTAGCGAAATGACGAAACGAGTAAAACAATATACAAGAGACCGAACAACTCACTCCGTTAGCTTCGATCGTAATCAATTGTTGGTACTGCCCCTCAAAAGGGTAGCCAAAGAACCCAATTGCAAAGTTGAGTGCCGAAGCAAGCATGCGATCCCTGCGGGTTTAACCATTTAGTTTACTATCGGAAAGAGGGAAATGCAGGCCAGAAGGATTAACAAAATCGAGTAAAGAAATAGGCAGTATTACGGTACATAAACTGACAAAGTAAACCAGATCACTTACTGAGACTCTGTCCGGAATACAGGAATCGTATTCGTCTCCGTAAAATTCTAACATTTCCTCCATGTTATCGTGCGGATTTTGTAGCACGAAGAAAGCAGACAGACCTTGAGTAGGAAGCCATACTTGAGACGCATAGATACGCCAAGGTCATCTATATGGGCACGATAAGAGCTTTTCAGGGGAGGAGAAAATAGACACACATAATTGTTGTCGGCCAAAGGGAGTGAGCACTGATTGAAGAGTGAACATTGCATATTACTGTACTTGTGAAAGTCATACCTTCCTCGCCTAGCTTGTAAGTCCTATGCGCACCCCTTCATGAGATACAAGTCGAGAGAATAGAGCAGGACACCTTACCACTCATTCAAGAATGCTAGTTGCCCAGTCGCCTCCCACTGCGATGCGCTCTCGTGTAGACGGGTAGCAAACTTGGCAGGACCACCAAAATTCGCTATTGACGGGAGTATATTACTATCAGTGTTGTAATGGAAGGATAACACGCACTCCACGCGGTCGGATAACGGGCACCGTGACGGTGAAGTAAATGCAGGCCAGTAACAACACATCCAGCAGGAGGCTCTGCGGTGTCATCGACGCCAAATGCTCTACGGGGGACACTGTACCACGGAGAAAGGTTGCCCCAGCTTCGGAAAAGGTTAAAAGGACGGTCGGATTTATAGTGTTTGTGATATTCTTCCTCTTCTTCTTCCATATTGTCATCATGCGTAGAGTGGATGTGCTTGTGAATCTTCGGAGGTGCAACAAGTTGTGCTGCGCCGGTCTGCAAGGGGAGGGAAGGCGCAGTTGCAATGAGGCCGGGCTCTGCGCCAGTAGGAGTACCACCTGGATACCCAACGCTGCAGGTTAAGTTAGCTTTGTTCAACCGACTTGAATGAAACACACCTTGTTGGAAAGAGGTCAGGGAAAGCGTTTGTAGGAGCTACAGGCGGGAAATGGTGCACTTCCGTAGAACCAACGTACGGTGGCGCTTGTGCCCTCACGTCGTCTCCCAGTCGAGGTGGTCCAGCAATACCTGAGACGTCGAGCAGGAAGCGTGCACCGATGCATAAAGCAGCACCTCCAACAAAGGCACATACAAGGTGCACAAGGCTGTATCGTGGCGTACTGACAGTACTAGCTGTAGATGAGTCTGATCCTGTAGGTAGGAGTAATTCGCGTTCTGGCTCAACAAGTGCGTCGTCGTATGCGCCGTATTTTGCTTTTGAGCCAGCCTCGACGTCCTGCTTTGACCCCATCGATCTATTGGTACTGGTGCTCAATGTCGTAGTACTAGACTGTCTTTCTTTTGTGTGATCCGTCTAGGGAAGACTACGTCGTGGGCTGTGATGGGCCGTGAACCAGCTTAACAAAAGTCCCTTTTCGGCTACGTTGTACGGAACTATTCAGTGTTTACATACTACTATTTCACAGCCAGCCATATTGCTTTCCTGTTCATGCCCTTAATTCTTGAAGTTTGTGTTGACTCGATTGAGTCTGCTTTAGCGTGAGTGCGAATCCTTGCATCTCAACTGCAAGAGCAGCTGGTTACTGCTGGTCTCTTTCAGAGCCGTTGAAGCGGGAGTAGATCGTCTTGAACTCTGCAGCAATCTAGGTCTTGGCGGAGGAACTACTCCCAGCCTTGGGCTGTTGAAAGCTATTCGAAAGGTGGCACCTACAATTCCGATCATGGTAGCCGACATCACCGTTATCTGGGCTCTTTCTCGCTACTGACGAGTTTGCCCCACTAGGTTATGATCAGACCTCGGACTGGTGACTTTGTATACA